CAGAGCTATGCTGAAAAGGACGTGGCGGCAGCACTCAGGACGACCTTTCCCGAGGGGCTCTACTCAGCGGCGAGGCAGAGTTCACATGCCTACCAGGTGGAGTACGACCAGGGCCAGGTGGATGACGATGAAGAGACCATGGAGGAAGAGTTTGACGTGTACCTCACCGATGCCGGCTACCAGCCGGAAGAAGAGATTGAAGAGCGAGATGCCATCGATGCCCTCTTGACTTGGAAACAGACGCGCAGCTCAATTGCCCAGACCAAGTTGTCGAGAGGTTTCGGAAATCAAGGGCAGTTGAAGAAGCTGGCCGCTCGGGTCAAGTGTTTCAAGTGTCGACAAGTGGGACATTTCTCTCGAGACTGTCCCAAACGAGGCAAAAAGGAAGGCAAGGGCTCGACCAAGGATGGCAACAACCAGTCGGGAGGTGGCACAAAGGTGAACTATGTCTTCATGGTATGGAGCCAACCGGACACTCCGAACATCCGGACAGAGCACCACCGGACCGTGGATGAGAATGAGGATGGTGAGCTGGAGCAGAACTACAACCCTCCCATTGGCCCGGAACTGTATGGACATGAGATGCAGGCATTGGTCGCGGGCTGGAGTCATGTGCCACGTGACTTTTGGTACACGAGGGGATCAGAAGTGATTCGTGAACATGTCTTGCCAAGGACGAGGTTGTTCACTCCGGCGGCATCCAACTGTCCAGTACCTCTCCAAGAGTTGTGTGACAGCCGATCAACTCATCTGTTCAAGGAAGATGGGTCCCAGGCAGTGCACTTCTCACACAACTGGAAGGCTCGTGGAGAAGCGCACAAGGACATCGGCGTGGAGTGGACCGGCCGGACGGTGTTCTACATGAAGGACCTTCCGTTCACTCCTATCGACGAGGAGATCGACATGTTGGCCCAGGCCTACAAGGACGAGCTGGACATTGCGCAAGATGAGGCTCTTAAGGAGTCAGGCTCGGAGGATTCCATGATGGAAGAGACGGACGAGGAGGCCGAGTACCTAGATGGTGAGACTATCGTGGCCCTTGTACACGCAGCAGGTCACGGAGTGGTGGACACCCGCTGCGGACGAGGACTTGTGGGAGAGAAGACTTTGCAGCGGCATGAGAAGGTGCTGAACGAGCACGGCTACGAGATCAAGGAGATGCTGCATCAGCCCCACAAGTTCCGATACGGGAACAGTGCAGTGGATGTGTCCCATCGGACCGTGCAGATCCCGGTGTTCCTAGCAGGAGTGCAGCTGTGGTTGAGAGTGCATGTGGTGCCAGGAGGTGCGCCTCTCCTGATCTCCAAGCGATTCATGAAGTGCTTGGGCGCGATCATCGACATGCGACAAGGTCAAGTGACTTTCACCAGAGCTCACCTGGCGGTGGCTCTTCTGGAACAAAGAGATGGAAGCTATCAAATCAACCTCCTTGATTTTCAGAAACCGCCAAAGATCAAAGATGCTGAGGTGGAGGTCTTGGCGACTGATCTGGGCGAGGAAGACGAGGAGGAGGGTGACCTCAATGTCGGGGACGATCCCATGGGCACGATTCCGGAGGATGAGATGGAGGAGTATGTGCCGACTAGCCCCGAACCAGAAGGGGATGAAGAGGTTGAGGAGATCGAGACCCCGGAAGAGTATGAGACTGAGACACCCGAGCACAATGAGAATGAAAACCAGGAGACCCAGGACCATGAGGAGCACGATGGGACTGGTGACCAGGACAACCTGACGGCAAGCGAACCGGAGGAAGAGTTCTGCGAAGATGAGACAGGGGACATCGGAGTGTTCAAGGCCGGGGAGAGAAAGAAGATCCAAGGAAATCTCACGGAGATCCTGCAGGCTGAACCGGAAAGGCCATCCGTGGTGGAAGTCTTTTGCCCTGGGCGCTTTGCTGAGCGTGCTGGAGACTTTGGGCTGAAGGTCATTGGAAGTTTTGACCTCAGCAGCGGCTGGGACTGGAAGAAGGCCTCGGACCGGAAAAAGGTGTGGGATTTGATTGAAGACCAGGAACCCGACCTGATGATCCTCTCGCCACCGTGTGGCCCATTGTCCCGGCTTCAGAACTCGACCCCACCATGGAAAAGGGCGGATCCTGAACAACATGAACGAGATGTGATCGAGGCTCGAGCAAGGTGGTGGAAGGCCGATCAGGGGGTCAGTTGAGGTCTATTCAAACCCAAGTGTATCCAAAACGACTGATAAACATCATATTGGGAGGATTCGCTTGTCAGCAACAATATGAGGCCGTGTGTTATCCAGTTAGCCAGGCTGATGTACAACTGGAGGACGGTAAAGAGATGACATCACTCAGTAGAGACAGGGTCCTGAACGCAGTGCGTAAAATGCATATCAATCTGGGTCACGCATCGGCTGACGACATGGTACGCATCCTGAAGCATCATGGGGCACGGCCAGAGGTACTGGAACTGGTTCGCAGCTACCAGTGTGACCTGTGTGAATCGCGTAGGCCACCCAAAGCTGTTCGCGAGAGTGCAGTGCCTCGAGATTTAGCCCCATTGAGATACATCGGTTTGGATGTGAAATGGCTCCCAACCTGGAAACGGGATATGAGCATCAAAGCTGTAAACATTGTTTGCAGAGCCACAGGATTCCAACAGATGTACCCCTTCAGGGAAACCGAGAACTCAGATCTTCTAGTCAGATTGTATCGACACTGGACTCGTTCATTTGGGCGGCCAAAGTACATCAAGTTCGATGCTAGCAGGTGCAACCTAGGACAGACTTTTTGGACGCATTGGAACGGGACTAGATGTACCAGGTGAAGCTCATGAACAAATGGGGGACGTGGAGGTACAAGGAAGACACTTTTCCACCATGTTGACAAAGGTTATTGATCAGATGCAGCCAAATGACCATCCTAGTTGGTTGGAGTGTGTTGATGTGACTATTGAAGCGAATCACGCATTGATGAGGCGAGGAGGATACAGTCCAAACCAATTAGTCTTTGGGAGAGACCCAGAAATCCCAGGGGATGACTTGTTGACAGAGGACCCTAATCCAATTTGCAAACGGTGCAATCGTAGAGGATGCCATAGCAGCATTTTCGTTCAGGGCACGGCAGAAGGCTCGCGAAGCAGTTCTCCAGTCACTGGATCACCGTGCAGCCCGCATAGCTTTGAACACCAGACCAAGACCTAAGAGGGAGTTCAGACCCGGCGATGAAGTAGCAGTCTGGCGCCGCGGCAGGGGAATTAAGAAGAACATGGCCCGTTGGAGAGGACCCGGAATTGTGGCAGGTGAAGCAGGAGGAAACTTTTGGGTCAGTATGCCCGGGTCATTCATCAAATGTTCCCCAGAGCAACTCCGACTGAGAACAGCAACAGAACGCGAGGCTGACCGGTTTTTGGTCCGAGATATTAGGGCAGCGGCAGCACAGTTGTTTCCGGAGGTGGGACCATCCAACAAGACTCAAAAGAATTTCATTGACATTACCAAAGAAGACTTTCCCCCAGGTGACCTATTTCCGGAGACACC